TGATATGTTTTTTGATGAAACAAAGCTAGAGAGAAAAATATAAAAAATGTGAAAATACAAGAATCATTAGTCTAAACTTTGATGCATTAATAAAAATATTAGGAAGAAAATTTTACTTGTAGGCACTTTAAAATTTAGTCTTAAAACTCGCAGCAATAGACATATTATCTCCGAGAATAAAAGCAATGTCATGATGCTCCATAAGAAAGTATGAGCATGTATACACAGATTGTTAATAAGATTTCCGAATCCAGTATCACTGCAACCTGTGGGTTTTGTATGCCATTTTTAACTGTAACTCGTTTGCCTTGCTGTCGAGTGGGGAGGTCGTACTTGTCCATGATCTCAGAGGAAATTCCGTGGTCCATACCAAAGTAGTTGTAGACTGCTTCAATGTTTTTAGTGGCAGTAAAATTTTGTTGCGCGTCTTGGCCAGAAGAATCGTTGTTGTAGTAATATTGCGATACACATTCGGGTGGACAGTAGCTTCCAAGATCGATTACGTTAGTGTAATATATTTGAGCCTATCGGAGGATTGGATCGAGCCGCTTCTTTGCAATTTCCACTGCAATGCAACAGATGGCGTTATGCAGAGGTGTATTTGCAACAATGGTGTGTCTCTTTGCGGCTGCGGTGGAATGTTTGTCCTTGTATAATTTTTCAATTTTCTCAAATAGTCATTTGTGGACTTAATACCGAGCTGATCTTCAGCTTGCTCAAGTAATCGTCAACTTTGTGCCGGTCAATGCGCTCCCAATACTGGCCGATAGTGCCTTGATTGAGAGTAGTGGGGGTCAAATCGGTCTGTTGAAAGACAATGAGTCATATAAGAGCAGCAGCGGGAGCAGTTCGGTCTTTGTTCATTTTGAACCAGCATGAAAAAACTGGTGCTTATTCTGTTTTGTAAAAAAGACAGATTTCGCTTATAAGCTAACACTTATATCCTAAAATACAACTGACATTCTTCACTATAACAAAAGTTTTTATTATTAAATGGTCTATATTTTTTTCCTCTTACCGGTATGCTAAAAATCTTTGAAGTATCTTATAGCACTTTAAACTACGTATTAATGAAATCAAGTTTGAATTTGGTTGATATGACCAATTTACAAAACGAAAATATATTTACGTATATTAACACGTCTAAAAAAATAAATTTAATACAATAGTATTAAAGCATTTATTCATAATACCTTTAATGAGTTCTTGACCAATAGAAATATGAATAGTTAAACACCTCTTAACGATTGTGTGAATTATGTATTGAAGTACAAAAATAAAAATATTCTGATACCAAAAACTTCAGAATTCAAATCTACTTATAAAGTAATCTTTCGGCTGATTTTTTATTTTGATTTATTTATTTTATTTTAAAATGCTATGAGACATTTCAGCTTTTACCAAAGCCGGGTAATAGAAATTTAGCTAATTATATATCAGGCACTTCATTAAGCTCGATAGAATGACTTATTGCTAGAAAATTAAGTTTAAGAA